ACTCGGAAGACTTTTATCTTTTTTAAACTGCATGTGCTTTCACAGTTAATAGGCACAGCTGTCGATTTATTGGGCAGAACTTTCTTATCGTACAATGGGGCAAATCGCACGTGATAGACTTTTCCCTTCCTTTAACTAAGGGCGCTTCCACAATCACTAGGCAGACGTCAGGCGGGTCTGTAAAACGCGGACCGAATAGATGCGGATGGCGGATGCGGATAGCAAAATGTGGATGAAAAATTGCGGATGGAAAAATGCAGATAGAAAAAAAATCGGTTGGAAAAAAACCACAACAACATTAAACATGTCTTTACAGTGGAACCTCGCTATGTCGGGCTCGGTTTAATTTAAGTCCCGCTATTTTGAAAAAAAATTCATTTCCCTAGGATTTACCCTTGTTCCCCTGCTAAAACACCAAAATAGTGCTAACTCGCCGAAGACGCTTCACAATGGCCTGAGACGCTGGTAATCAACAAAGAATACAGCTAGGCAACTGGTGAGTCAATTTTATTCAAAACATGACACTTTTCCTCTCTTTTAACGAAAACCGATAACATCCCATAAAAACCTTTTTAAATAACCATTGCGCAACACTGCAAGAGTCACGTCCGCGCTTCTAGTAGTGAGCTTGGGTTGCCTGTGTCACGATACAAATCAATCAACGCTCTCGTTCATGAAACGCTGCCACTCTTTCATGTTGACGCCTGCAATGATGGAAGTCGTGGTGGAAAGTTCTGGCTCAGAGAGCGGGGAGTTGCCTGTTTTTGAGATCACATGGTGAGTTACTGTTACGCTAATGGCTTTATCATTTTCAATTTGGCTGGTGCTTTCTAACTTCCTGAGCAAACTGTATCCTTTTAAATCTGCAATTTGTATTTTGCCGATCTGCTGGAGGGAAAACATAGCATGGAAAGAGATAGGACGTATTGTGTCTTGACTTCATACCTGCATATCTCTATTTTTCTTCGATTCTCGAGTTTGAAATGAGTCTTGTTGAATAGAGAGAAAAAATGTCTCGTTTTGAAAATTTCAATAGGTATACTATTCGACAGTCTTGTAGCCGAAACAGCGAAAGAGCGTCCTCCCTCTGATTCTCTTTGGTATTTAGGACAAACAGCATTAATGCTTGAATATCTAGTGTTGCGGGAGTGCCGCTTATTATTCAAAATTAGGTGTTCATTAAGATAATTCGGCAAACGCCCATTAATTCGCTTATACATTATTATGCATTTATCTATCTTATGTTGCTCATAAAAAGGAATCCAACCTAGCTTGTCAAAAAAAGCAACTGATGGTGTCGTGCGATCGGCTTATCTGATCACTAGAGTCTAGAACACATTCTCACTTCGCACCGGGATTTTTCCAACTCCATGGTTAAATCAAACATCAACAAGTTTTGTTGTTTACCAAATTCTAAAGTAAACGGCTTTTATATGCAAAGCCCAGTGGAAAGGTAGGTTGGTGGTGATTGGGTAAAATTCTTTCAGGAACTAGAAGTAAAAACAACGAAACCTAAATGGATGGCGCACGTGTTGACATTACCATGTTACCCAAATTTCCAGCCTATTTATATAGCTACTGCGATAATTTTTTTACCCGACAAACGTCTGGAGAGCATACCTCCCTGAAATCAGTGCAAAACTCTCAGGATTCCTCTAATTAAGTTGCAACCGAAAATAGAAGTTGTTATTGGTTCGACATTTGCCTTTGAGAACGAGGTTTTATTTATTTGATAAATAATTACTCTTTAGGATCGATTTACTTATAAAAAGACGGAAATAATTTTTTGTCGTTAGCTGTAGGTAATAAAAAAGATAATGATTATCCTCTCAGAATGGGTTAGCCGACAGAAAGACGAAACCGCAAATGAGTGTAGAAAACTATTTGAGAGTTATTCCTTTTCGCTGACATGTTCACTCCAAAATCCTTTCCTTTTGCTTTTAAAATTTTCAAATACACAATAAGGGCACTTAACTTTCTAAAGGTGCCAGGCAGGTGTATTTGCTGATAATTTTTTCTCGTGCACTATCAATGGAAAAAGAACCACTGAAAGTGAGTACCTGGGTGCTTTTTTTTATCAATGCGAATGAGCACACAGCAATATTTGAAGTCAATTTCAATTTAGATGACTAGAGGGACTCATGCACACCACAGTGGGACTCTAATGATTCCACACTGAAAATTTTACTGAACGCCGCTTTTAAATTACTTGCAGCAGACAACTTCATTTGTCCTGATTGCTGTCAAACGGTGCTCATTTCATGTTCTTTACTCATCATGGATTTACTCAAATCTGCTGTGGATTGAAACAGTCATGTTAAGCATCATAAATGTTGCAGAATTCCTTGGAAATTTGTCCGTCTGTTATGCTGTGTACCGAAACCAAAGACTCCGCACACTTTCCAACATGTTTGTTGTTTCGTTGGCTGTGAGTGATATTCTGATGTCCACCTGCTGTATGCCATTTTCTGTTGTTACTTTAAATCGTGGCAAGTGGATCTTTGGAGACAACTTCTGTCGATTCCATGGATTCGGAGTGTTTACATTTGGACTAGCATCGTTGCACACCATGGTACTAATTGCAGTAAGTCGATATTTCTGCATTGTCAAACTTGAGAGGTACATCGTGTTATTCAAAAGGCAAATAATTCTGCTCTACATCGGTGTTTTCTGGTGTACCGTTTTCATTGGCTCCGTTCCTCCCTTTTTATTCGGTCATGGTGGCTTCGAATTCCAACCGGGGAAGGCATTGTGCCTGTACACATTCGACACCAACATAGCATACACCGTCTTCATCGAATGTATCTACATCGCGACACCTTTGACATTAATAAGAATCTGCTATGTAAAAGTATTCTACACCGTGTCACGATCCAATCGAGTTTTCTCCGTGGAAATTAACCCCCACGTTCTAAGAGCTAACGTCGAAGAAGCCAAAGTGACTAAGACTTTAGCTGCTGTTATGGTTGGTTTTGCTTGTTGTTGGCTTCCAGTGTGTATCATCGACTACATTGATGCAGCTCAAGGTGAACCCACTTTGCCCAGACAAGCTTACCTTACATACGGTTTCTTGGTCTATTTAAGCAGCACAATCAACCCGTTCATTTATGGAGCCTCAAATAAGCATTTCAGACGAGAACACACGGCGATTTTAAGCGACACGTTTTGTATTAAAATCTGTCGTTGCTCAGAAACGTACGAAGCAGAGTCTTCCAGCGATTGTCGAAGAAATGGCCTAAAAGTGAGGCCTTGTTAGGGGAGGTTCAGTCATCTCCTATGCCTAATCTTTCGGGGGCAGTTATCCCTTATCCCTATAACAGAACCGCGTCTTTGCAAAGAGTCCTCAATTTAGCTGGACCTTTTGTCCGAACATTAATTTTGGTAAACAGTGTTAAGAGAGCGGAAAGCTAACAGTTGACTGAAGGACATTTATCTTATTATATCAACCCAAAAATTCAGTCTTTATTGATCTTTTTACGTAAAAAAATATACATAATAAAATAAAGTGAGATAAACAGTTTTTCGTATTGATCTTTATTTACATATTACATTATTCAGTAAGCCTGAGGCTTATTGATCGCATAAAACCGTGGTCTAGGTTGGACCTCGTGTAAATAAGCAGGTCTACAGGTCCATGGGATATACTTTGATTTATGTTTACGAGAATTCTATTAATCTGCACCCAGGCCATTTTCACATGCTATTCGAGTCTTATTGTGGCAGTCGTAAGATTCCACCTCAGAAGTTTTGTCCATACATAGCAATACAATTTTCTAGCTCTGTTCACAATAAACTGATTGATCAGTTGAATTGTGACTCTTGCTTGTGAAATCAGTTAACACAAGCCTGTGCACCGAGGGTGCTGCTATAATTAGCAAATAGGAATGGGGTTGAATTATTCATACAGCAACTGCCAGTCAAATACTCCACTCAGTTTGTTAAATAAATGCTCTCCATTGAAGAGGTCAAGTTATTGATGTGTAGAAATGCATGGATACCATAGTGAGAATGAGTCTGTTTGTGTACAAGAACCTAACACTCAAATTTAGTACTACTAAAACCGTGAAACGGCTTGAACACATGCTCTGATTGGCTACTCAAACTCAGAATGTCCTATGCTTAAGTAAGCTCCGAGCAATGCATGTGGGATTTGGGCCGTAAAAACATTGTAATTGTCGCAGGAATAAATTAGTTAAAATCATTTTTGTGCTTTATTATTTCACTTTTTCAGTGTACGCCGAAACCGCTCTTCACCTCAATATCTGTACATTTTTAAGCACTTAGTTAGTTTACAATGTAGCTGAAAAGCCCCTCAGGGGGAGCTGCAAATTACGTACTTAGTTATTTATAGCAAGCGGGGGATATTTAGCATGCTTTTTAGTGGCTCAGTAGATGCCTACCACTCGCCATCTTCCCTTCAGGGAGGAGTTGTTAATAACTCTTTTTAAAGTTCTGAGCACCATGTTGGATATGTAACCGCACACCCAAGTAAATGAGGCTGAGGTTGACGGGTGTAATATCTCTGTGAGCGGTTTTAGGGAAATTTGACACGTGGGCAGTTAATTTGTGCGATCAGAGGAAAATGGGTAGTCCCAGATCCCGATAAAACTACTCGTTCTTAAAAGAAAAGAAAGCAGTGTGCTGTTTTTGGTTGTCCAAATACACTTTGAGAATAAAGGTAAAGCAGACCGTCACGGACTCCCATTGATCGCCTTCATATTTTTGCTCCACAAGCGTGCCTTGAAGGGATTTTCCCTCTTTGTAAGAGATGACGAGAGGTTTTATAAAAATTTTCCTCAGCAAGGGTGGATTGTGACTCAGACTCCAATGTTCCATCAACCCCAGCCCGCTTGCACGGTTACACATCTAATATGCCATTGGGAATTGTAAAATGGGCCGTTACCACCTGATTGTATAACAATGGTGTTGTCCAGTTTGAATGTGGCCTGAATTGAATTCTCGGTTTTAATTCAAATTGTTTTGACAACTTCAATTGCACAAGGACCTGCTGTTAGACTCTATAGGAAGTTTCGTTTCAAGCTCATATGCATACGGATGTTAGGGTGTAAAGAGTTGAGCATGATAGGAAAACATGTCAAGGCTTACTGTGATTAATCCAGGTAAAGCACAATCAACATATCTAAACCCTATGGAATAATTTCGATCCTTGTCATATTTTGAATACTACAAGGCATGTACACTCTTTCTAGAGGAGTATATCTAAATGCAATGAATCTTTGAAGAGGTACAAAAAATGGTAGAAATGACTGTTATTAGAAAGGAAAAATGGTATATTTGTGTCGTAACTGTGGATGAGATTTCCCTGATAAAGATTTGTACCTGGACAATATGCTTTGATCAAGGCTAAGTTGTCTTCTTTAATCCCTTAACTCCCAGAAGTGATTAACCTGTAACTTCGCCCCATAATATCCATACATGATTCAGCAAACAAGAAATGAGAAAACTCGAAGTTATCAGGTAGAATTTTTTACATTGATTAAATACCAAATTCTCGTAACCAATTTACAAGAAAATGTGTAGCAGCTAGATGGGAGAATTCATAATCAGATCTTGGGAGTTAGAGGTTAATGTTATCACATTGACTGGACATTCGGAACCGCTAGAGGAGAGAAGTTAAATGGGTACATTTTAGCTTTTGAAGGTTCTTTGACAATCTCATGTTAATACTTATTTGTACCAAGAATTATCTCTCAGATTATGTTACTAAACAGGACAAAGTTGCGCATCAGTTTCAAGGTATAAGTTTTGTCTGCGAGGTACGAACATAATAGCATACCCGCTAAAAGACAGCTACAACACAAAAATGTAATACTTCCTCCCTCCTAATCGCGTAAACATAATTAAATATTTGGTTGTTTTTTCACGGTAACTTTTCCCCAGTGTTTAGCCAATTAAAATCTACTCAGCTTACACTAAAATGAAGTAACTACTTCTCAGAAGACCCTATATTTCAAGTGCCTGATAAGTGTAGGTAAGTTTTTCCAATTCGTCAAACTAATCCTGGCCTAACTTGTTTCGACGAAAACTGCGCCAAAGTACCCTAGGGGAATAAGATTGCTAACTCTTGCCTTGCAAAGTCAGCTGAATCGTTAGAGTCCTTCATTTTTTCCCCTTGTTTCCTGCGTTCTAAAAGCACAAGAAATTGGAAATTCCGCTACCTCAGAAGTATTCTTTTCTGACGGTCTATTAATATTTAAATATTGTCAGAAAGGATCCTTTAATCTACGGAAATTGTTCTGGTATCTAAATACAGCTGTCGCTGGGCGTGCATAGGTCGGAACTTTGTTTTACTGGCCAAGGAGAGACATTGTTTAAATCAAAAAACAAAAACGTAAAAAGAATGACCTTGACTTCTTATGGGTTCCAAGGAAGCATAACTTCTTTTTTTTTTGGCACTTTAAGCGTGAGTTTCCCTAGTTCATGAGGTCGAAAAAATTGAAATGTGGACATGCGGAATGAGTAACAGTAGAGGAAAATGTACGGTGGCCTCCGGAACTCCCTTCTCAGGTGAAAAAAAAAAAAAAAAAATTAAAGAAGGAATTAAGAATTCCCACACTAGTTGCTACACATTTCATTGTAAGTTGGTTACAAGAATTTGGTGTTCAATCAATGTAACAATTTCTACCTGATAAGTTTGAGTATTCTCATTACCTGTTTGCTGGATCATGTGTGGATATAAACAGGGAGAAGTTACAGGTTAATCACTCCTGGGACTTAAAAGGGCTAAGGGAACAATTAATTTAGCCTTAATCAAAGTACATTTTCCAGGCACAAATCTTTATCAGGGAAATCTCATTCACAATTACGACAGAAATATGTTATTTTTCCTTCCTAATAAAAGTCATTTCTACCATTTATTGGACCTCTTCAGAGATTCGCTGCATTTTGATATACTCCTCTACAAAGAGTGTATAATTTCCTTGAAGCATTCAAAATATAAGAAGAATCAAAATCATTTCCATAAGGTGTAGCTATGTTGATTGTGTTTTACCTGGATGAAACGGAAAATTTTGAGATATTTTCCTATCATGCCTAACCCTTTACACCCAAACATCAGTATGCGTATTCCCCATAATGTTCTCTCTACATTTCCTAAGGTGCTGACAAGGAGAAATTAGTCAACAATCAGGAGGAGCTTTTAGTTGCTGATTATTTCTTTTATTCTTGTGACCCTAATGGATGATTCAGGAGTGATAATGTAAGGAGAACTTGGATTCTGGTCACTCTTAGGGGTAAAGTGTTAACTTTTGATTCAAATTTTTCCTTGCATCATTGAATGAATGAATTAGGCCAGCTTACCTAGAGCCATAGCTGGTGCAAGGAAAAAGAGGAAAGTTGAGAGGCCAATAGAAGAAAGTTGGCATGGTTACAAATTATTCAAAGAAATTTGACATAATTGTAAACTTCAATGTTTTTCCACATACCACAGACCCTCCTCCTTGGAATATTTGAGAAGTTCTTCAAGCAATTTACTTCCAACTCCCATTTTCTGACAAGTTCTGGAGACATACATCTGCTGAAGCTCTGATGTTCTAGCTTTGTGTAAATAGCCAACTGGTTTGCCTCCGGCCAGTTGGGATTCTTAACAATGTTATGTTCAATTTGAATTATTTGTTTATAGTCCACAATGTAAACTAATGGGCTACCAGTAATTGTGTCAGCTATTAAAGTTTATTTATGTTATTTACATTTATTATCCAACTACACCTAGACGAGTACAAATAACGCCATAGACGAGTACAA